ATCCTTTGAGTTGCTTCCGGTGAAACCCAAACCGAATTTTGCAGAAGTTTTTCTTCGGAATCAAGGATTTTGTCAAGTGTTGAAGTGGTGTCCATCATTTGGATTTGTCGTTTGTAGGTGCTTAGCTCCTGCTTCAAGGTCTGTACTTCCTATTTCAGTCTCTCTTCTCGGTCAACCGCTTCTTTAAGAAGTACATCCCTATATGCTATTTGAGTTTGGTACACTTTACTAGCATTTGTTATAATCCCTATCTCACTAGTTAATCTACGATTTGCTTTTCGTAGGGCTTCCCATTTGGGGTACAACTTATTAAACTCAACTTCAAAAGATAAAGCATTTAATTCTAAATCTTCCGCTGAGACATATTCACCACCCTCTGAGTCAGCTCATTCATCAGGTTCTGAACAACCAGCAACACGTGTAGTAAATGCAACAAAATTATCGGAGGTTTCTTCTATATCAGATCCAGTTGTTTCAGCATCAGGTTCGTCGTCACTCCAGGTAATGGCGGACATAGATTTTTTGCGTCTGAGATAGGTGGGACACTCCGCTTGTACATGTCCAAAACCTTCGCACTCATAGCATTTGATTCCTTTATTATTAGATTTTCTTTGGACTGCCCTGGACGTGAGACAGACTGCTTGAAGCTTGACGAGCCTGCCCTAGGGCCAGTTTTGGATGATGTTGCTCCTCTTTGTGGATTTCTGTTGCGCGAATTTTTTGAAACCTGTTTCAAAATTTTGGAGAACTGTTTAGTAAAAAATACAACAGTATCATCACCCGGTTCGTCTAAATCAGATACAACATTATTTTCTTCAGCGGCAAAGGCTATATTTTTTTTTTGTTTTTTCGTGTGATCAGTTAAAATTTTCATTTCATAGGTTCTAAGATTTCCCATTAACTGAGTAACAGTTTTGTTCTCCCAGCCGTCGTGTTCTTGAATAGCCGTGACTTTCATTCTGAACCTCGGTGGTAAGGACCTCATAATTTTTTTAACAAGTTTTGCTTGTGGGACAGGTTCACCGAGGACCATTGCACGATTCGCCAGTTCCTGTACGCGTGTGTGAAAGTTCGTGATGGTCTCATCCTCATTCATCCGAAGCTCTTCAAAGTCGAACTGGACCAGTTGCAGTTTTGATTGTTTCACTGACGTAGTTCCTTCGTAAGTTGACTCAAGAGCCTCCCACGCACCTTTAGCTGAATCAATACCTGCAACTATAGAAAACTGACTTTGATGCATAAGGGAGTAAATCGTATCTAAGGCCTTATCGTTATATCCAACATTAGTTATTTCACTTTGGAACCATTCGGTTTCAGGTTTAGTTACTCGCGTTCCATCATCACTGGTACTGGCTTTAGTCGGATGAATCCAACCTGTCACTACGGACTGCCATACCGCATCACCCTGAGCTTTTAGATGTGTACATGTGCGAGCTTTCCAATAAGCGTAGTTGTCGCCGATTAGCTGGGGAAGAACCTTAACACGATCCATTCTGTAACACTCAACAACCCGTGAGATTGAACAAATTAACAGAATAAATAAAAACAATAAAAGCCACTGAAAGCTTGAGTTCAAGAGGCACGAAATCGCCAGATTGACAGACTAATAATTTAAGTTTGAAGGCTCTGATACCAATTGAAATTGCACCGTGAATCTTGAATACAAGATGAACCTTAGAATTCTACTGATTTTATGTTATGCAACAATCGCGTTCATTAATTAGATTTGTTAATCAAATGTAAATAACGAAAATTGAAAGCATAAAATAAAACAATAACACAAGAGAATTGTTACGCAGTTCGGAGCGCTTCTCCTACGTCTGCGGGGCAACCCACGTCTGCCCAATCCACTATAGATGTTCACCAAGGAGTATTACAAAGGTAAGTACAAATGGCTCTCAGCCTTTACCACTACAACCCTTCCTAACACCTATTCAGGACTGAACCGTGCATGCCATAACAATCTTCAAGCGAAGCTTCAGTTGTACCAGGTACTGTCTGTGCAGTCCAGAATTAAACTACAATAATATAATCAAAGAGATAATATAAGAGCTTGTAAAATATTCTTTCACTTAGGATAGCAGTTCTCAATTCGTCAGTTTCCAAAAAGGAATAGCTTCCTTTTATAGTAACTTTAAATCCAACAGATTTGATCCATAAAGATAGCATCCATAATCTTCAACAAACCACATCCACACATTCTATTTTGAACTTCCCTCACTGTATGCTCTGACTTTCTCTTCTTAAATTTTCAATAAATGATAGCCACTTAAAATAATCATATAAGATAGGAAATGGTCCAAATAGATTTAAACTAATCTTAAATCTAATTAAATCTAATTAAATTGAAACTAAATAAATTAACCAACCAAGGTTTTAATGTGTATTAAACTTGTACACTTATAATAATAATAATAATAATAATAATAATAATAATAATAATAATAATAATAATAATAATAATAATAATAATAATAATAATAACAATAATAATAATAATTATTATTATTATAAAAAAAAAAAGAAGAAGAAAGAAAGAAAGAAGTAGGGGTGTAAACGAGCCGAGCCTGGGTAGGCTCGAGCTCGAGCTCGTTAATGGAAGCTCAGCTCGAGCTCGACCGAGCTCAAGCTCGGCAATTTTTGAGCTGCTCAAGTTCGGCTCGAACAGCTCGATTGTTCGAGTTCGAGCTTGATCTTGAACTTTTTAATTGTTATTTTTATATATTATAATTATATTATGTTATATTATATATTTTAAATATTATATATTATACAGCTCGCGAGCGGCTCGACGAGCCACGAGGCTAGAATGTCTAGGCTCGGCTCGAGCTCGATTATCACACGAGTTGCTCGAGCTCGATTTTTACTAAGCTCGAGCCGATCGCGAGTGGCTCGGCTCATTTACACCCCTAGAAAGAAGGTGTGTCGTTGCCATTGCAACGACACAAAATTTGGGCCGGAAAATTGGCCGTTGCCAATGGCAATGGCCAATGAAATTAAATTTTGGAGTGGCCCACTAGCCACTCTGAAAAAGCTACAATTTTTTTTTTATTACTGACAAGAGCTTTGGTTTTGCAGGAAGAAAATTCCTTTAAAATCTCCCCATCCCATTTGTCAACTTCTACCACAAGATATTTTACTATTTTAAAATATAGTGAAGATTCCCGTATTGGGGATGTCTTGGGAGTAAGGCTGGGATTATCCCAGCCAAATATCATAGTGGCAAGATGAGTTGGACAATGCCATGTATGCCTTTTTTTTTTTTTTTTTTTTTTAAATAGTGAGTTGGATTACAAGTTTGCTCTGCATACAAACTTGCAACCGTACAAAAAGCTGTCGCAACGTACTTTTTTTTTTTTTAGTTTTTTTTATTTAGTTTATTTAATTTTGTTTCGTTTCTTTTATTTTATTTGTTTTTTGTTTTTTATTTTGCCATATGAATTTTTTTATATTTAATGTGTAATTTTTTTTAATAAAATAATATATTAAATTACTTTGAATTTGTAAGGTTCATTTGAGTTTTAGTTTTACAATTCAAATTGTGGTATAATATGCATCCGGTTATATGCCATACATAATACAAATAATTTCTTACATTATTTTTTAAAATAAATTCATTAAAATTACGTGTCTAAAATTTATGTTGATAAAGATACATTTTTTTTGTAAGATTGATATACATACATTCATTACTATACGTATTTTAATTCATTAATACATACATTTAGATTTTCCATTAATACATACGTAATTAGTTATTTTCACATTTGTTATATTTAATATTTAAATATAAGTTATATATTGATATTGTAATTTTGCATTTCCTCATTTTACGTAAAATATCAGAAATAGTTTGCTGACTTAGAATACTGATTGATTCAGTTAAGCACCTACTTAGTAATGATAGATCATGAAGAGAACATCAGAGAAAAATAAACAAACACACAGAATGAACACTCACAATGTTTACCCAGTTCGATACGGTGTGTATCTACGTCTGGGGGACGATCACATAGGCGTCCAATCCACTAAGTCATAATCCAATGTACAAAGGTAGATATACAATAATCTTACCCAAGTGCCCCACACAAGGTACATACCCAGTCTACACAGGTTTAGTGGATTGTTGAAGATGGAGAGCCATGCATATAGAAGTCCAATGAAATCCCTTCACTTGGAGAGCCAGCTCTGATGCAGTCCACTTCAGTGACGCTCTATAAGGTTGTTTCCACAACAGTGTGATCTTAGTGTCCTTTCGTTTAAGCAGCAGTAACTCTTCTCAAGTTCATCATCTTAATCACCGTGAACATGTTGTATTGAAAAGGTGCATGACCATCAAAGATCTAAACTCATCAAGCTGATATGGAGTGTTTCTTCTTCTTATTTGGCGTAACCCTAGTTCCCTTAAAGAACTGTTACTTATAGATCCTTCAATAAACACTCTCCATAAAATGTCTTTGATTGTAGAAGGTAGGACTATATAAGAGGAATGTAATCTCAGCAGATTAGGTCCATTACCTTCTTTGAAGATACGCTGATCGTCTTTCCATACTGGGCTGATAATACCGCGTAAGACTCTTAAGGAAACAACTTTCCTAAATCAGATCTTCAGTGTCAGTTCTTCTGTCGTTGCTTCTGCTTGATCAGTAAACTGTAGACCCAACCGGACAGACTCTAAACCTATCTTAGTATGCCATAATAATATTGCCAATTATAATATGGGGCTTTTGAACATAAAAACACTAACAAACTCCCCCTTTGGCTATTATTTGGCAAAACAACTCAACTATATAAAAAGAACTAAGATAGGTTATTAAAAGAAGCAACCCAAGTGTCCAAACTGATTACATAGGATAAAAAGAACATAAGATCCAAAGCAGTCTAAAAACAAAAAAAAAAACGACATCAAAACATAACGCCCAGCCAGGGCCAGAAAGTACTCGATCACAAAAACTCCCCCTGAGTTACTACTCCCCCTTTTTGCCAATGGTAGCCAAAGATCAAGCATTTGAGGGAGAGTCACAGTCAGACTTCACGGGATCCTCAGCAGCAGAAGCAGTATCAGACAGGCTCATGCGGAGAAGAACAGTAGCTAGCTCAGTGCGCGCACCCATCAGTTGCTTGGCAATGATACCGTGCACCGTCTCAAGATCAGCAACTCGCGCCTTCAAATGTTCGGAAAGCTTCACATCTTTAGCATGAGGAGACTCATCATTCACAGCATCAGGTTCCGAATTGGATGGGGCAGTCACAGGAACGACATCCTTAATATGATCTCCAGAAAGAAGACGTTTATCAACAGTATATAGCAGCGTCGGACTGATCACTTCGCTGGGCATAGGCTTAAGACCCTAAGAGGTAAGGATGCCAAAAATCAGATTTGGAAACAGTAATCTTACCTTCTGTTCCCGGGGATGAATCAGAGTTAGAACATGATAAAAAATCCATTTGCCCAGATCACACTGCATCTTAGTTCCAATTCTAAATAAGAACCCTGCCAGAAGCTTGCCAACTGTGTTGAAATGAGCTGATGGAAGCCAGTTGTGCAGAGCCAGGCGATGTAGGATGACATATCTAGACGTGAGATGCGAGCTCAGCAAATAGTCCTTATCTCCTGTAGGCCAAGATGTAGTATGTCCACCGGTAAGAGTTTTGGCCACCACGTCCCATTCAGTAACAGCTTCTTCTTGCACTGTAGGCAAGCCATAGTATTTATTTATCACATCTGGCCCAAACTCATACCAGTTCCCTCTGATGAAGATTTGCATCGGTCGTGGCCCTGTGAGACTGTTAATCTCATCACTGAGATTGCAATAGAACTCATATGTGAGCAGCTTGGAGTAAGGGCAAACATCTGTAACAGTTTTCAAAAGACCAACTTCATTCAGCAAGGGCAGGATGTCGCAAACGGAGTTCAGTTGATTCTCATCCACAGTTCTTTGAACAATCAGCTCCCTTCTGACCATAGTGGCCCATTTTGTTTGTGCAACAGGGGATACAAACTGAGGTTTGTAAACAGTGGTATCAATTCCTTCAATAGGTGGAACCTCCGGAGTTACACTTCGACCTCTTGACCTTGTGGTAGGTTTCCCTTTTCTGGCAGAGGGGGCTGGTGCAGAAGTAGCTTGAGCAGCAGTAGTTCCTTGTTGCTTAACAGAGGAACGTAGAGTCTTGAAAACTTGGTGGATAGGTGGGTCTCCTTCTGGCTTAGCAGTCTCACTCGACTTTCTCTTCTTCATAGGCTGATCCACATCAACATTATCAGCACTGGTTTCAACAACAACGTTCGTTGGAACATTCTTCCTTTTTGTCCGTCTTGTTTCTCTGGATGGGGACTGGACTGGAGTCACAGAGTGGCTAGAATCAGAAACATTTGCAGATGAGCTCCCAACAATATTTGATATCTCTCGAATTATGAAATTCGTGGAATCAGGATGAGCAGTTGCCTCAACAGTAGAGCAGCAGTAACTCTTCTCAAGTTCATCATCTTAATCACCGTGAACATGTTGTATTGAAAAGGTGCATGACCATCAAAGATCTAAACTCATCAAGCTGATATGGAGTGTTTCTTCTTCTTATTTGGCGTAACCCTAGTTCCCTTAAAGAACTGTTACTTATAGATCCTTCAATAAACACTCTCCATAAAATGTCTTTGATTGTAGAAGGTAGGACTATATAAGAGGAATGTAATCTCAGCCAGATTAGGTCCATTACCTTCTTTGAAGATACGCTGATCGTCTTTCCATACTGGGCTGATAAATACCGCGTAAGACTCTTAAGGAAACAACTTTCCTAAATCAGATCTTCAGTGTCAGTTCTTCTGTCGTTGCTTCTGCTTGATCAGTAAACTGTAGACCCAACCGGACAGACTCTAAACCTATCTTAGTATGCCATAATAATATTGCCAATTATAATATGGGGCTTTTGAACATAAAAACACTAACAAACTCCCCTTTGGCTATTATTTGGCAAAACAACTCAACTATATAAAAAGAACTAAGATAGGTTATTAAAGAAGCAACCCAAGTGTCCAAACTGATTACATAGGATAAAAAGAACATAAGATCCAAAGCAGTCTAAAAAACAAAAAAAAAAACGACATCAAAACATAACGCCCAGCCAGGGCCAGAAAGTACTCGATCACAAAAACTCCCCCTGAGTTACTACTCCCCCTTTTTGCCAATGGTAGCCAAAGATCAAGCATTTGAGGGAGAGTCACAGTCAGACTTCACGGGATCCTCAGCAGCAGAAGCAGTATCAGACAGGCTCATGCGGAGAAGAACAGTAGCTAGCTCAGTGCGCGCACCCATCAGTTGCTTGGCAATGATACCGTGCACCGTCTCAAGATCAGCAACTCGCGCCTTCAAATGTTCGGAAAGCTTCACATCTTTAGCATGAGGAGACTCATCATTCACAGCATCAGGTTCCGAATTGGATGGGGCAGTCACAGGAACGACATCCTTAATATGATCTCCAGAAAGAAGACGTTTATCAACAGTATATAGCAGCGTCGGACTGATCACTTCGCTGGGCATAGGCTTAAGACCCTAAGAGGTAAGGATGCCAAAATCAGATTTGGAAACAGTAATCTTACCTTCTGTTCCCGGGGATGAATCAGAGTTAGAACATGATAAAAAATCCATTTGCCCAGATCACACTGCATCTTAGTTCCAATTCTAAATAAGAACCCTGCCAGAAGCTTGCCAACTGTGTTGAAATGAGCTGATGGAAGCCAGTTGTGCAGAGCCAGGCGATGTAGGATGACATATCTAGACGTGAGATGCGAGCTCAGCAAATAGTCCTTATCTCCTGTAGGCCAAGATGTAGTATGTCCACCGTAAGAGTTTTGGCCACCACGTCCCATTCAGTAACAAGCTTCTTCTTGCACTGTAGGCAAGCCATAGTATTTATTTATCACATCTGGCCCAAACTCATACCAGTTCCCTCTGATGAAGATTTGCATCGGTCGTGGCCCTGTGAGACTGTTAATCTCATCACTGAGATTGCAATAGAACTCATATGTGAGAGCTTGGAGTAAGGGCAAACATCTGTAACAGTTTTCAAAAGACCAACTTCATTCAGCAAGGGCAGGATGTCGCAAACGGAGTTCAGTTGATTCTCATCCACAGTTCTTTGAACAATCAGCTCCCTTCTGACCATAGTGGCCCATTTTGTTTGTGCAACAGGGGATACAAACTGAGGTTTGTAAACAGTGGTATCAATTCCTTCAATAGGTGGAACCTCCGGAGTTACACTTCGACCTCTTGACCTTGTGGTAGGTTTCCCTTTTCTGGCAGAGGGGGCTGTGTGCAGAAGTAGCTTGAGCAGCAGTAGTTCCTTGTTGCTTAACAGAGGAACGTAGAGTCTTGAAAACTTGGTGGATAGGTGGGTCTCCTTCTGGCTTAGCAGTCTCACTCGACTTTCTCTTCTTCATAGGCTGATCCACATCAACATTATCAGCACTGGTTTCAACAACAACGTTCGTTGGAACATTCTTCCTTTTTGTCCGTCTTGTTTCTCTGGATGGGGACTGGACTGGAGTCACAGAGTGGCTAGAATCAGAAACATTTGCAGATGAGCTCCAACAATATTTGATATCTCTCGAATTATGAAATTCGTGGAATCAGGATGAGCAGTTGCCTCAACAGTAGGGGCATCAGAAGAAGGTGCTTGGGATCCATACACCTCAGCCAGTATCTTATCATCTTCACTGGAGGATTCTGATGGGTGTATCACTCGATAAGGTTGAGGGATCGAAGCATATGGTAACCCAGCAAAATGTCGCACATGTTCCAGGCTTTCTCCTAAAGATGTTGCAGTGTAAACAGGGACTCCACCTGTTTTCTCAGACTTGTGGGGACTTGATAAATCAACAGTTTTAACAGTTGCAGGTAAGGCAGGAGGATCAACAGCAGGACAAGACTCTTTAGAGACATTAATAGTTTCAGACGGAGGCAGAACAATATTCTCAGAAGCATAAACAACCAGACTCAGTGGATTTGGCTTATCAGAGGACTTTGTTTTCTCATTAGACACATGCAACACATCAGATTTTTCACCAGCAAAATTAGTCACAGGCAAAGATAGAGGATCAACATTCACAGGGGACTTCTCGGAACCCAAAGCAGATTGATTTTTCAGGCAAAACAGACACAGACGATGGAATAGAAGAATCAACAGGTCTATCAGGGGAAATTTCAATAGGGTTTTCAGAATCATTTACCCGTTGTCGAAGAATCTCCTATCTGTGTGTTGCTTCTCTCTGAGCAGCTTCAAGATACAGAGCTTGGGAATCCTCTCGTCGTCGAGCTTCTTCAACAGATTCTAGGGCACGCTGAGCAAAAATTGAAGGAATGCACCGGCCCGATTTCCATCCGAGGGTTCTGGAATAAACACTGGAGAGACGTCATCACTGGCTTCGGCGACCAACACAAGAAGTTCAGTTACATCATCTGCCGACCATTCAGCATAAAACTCCGGATAGTTGGTCATAACAGTCACCAGAATCTCGTCGCGAAGCAGAGGATCAAGCTTGAGTTTCTTCTTCATAGCCAACTGTAGAAGCGTCTGAATGTGTTTGAGGGCTGCCGCCGGAAGGTGTACCTTGCTTCCAAGCTTAATGATGATGTTTCTTACGGGGTCCGCCATTTAAGATTAAGTGCGAGGAGAAGAATAAAACACGAGAGCAGATAAGCACGGGAAATTGAGAGATGAGAGCTGAGGTGAGTTCTTTCTTCTTGACCCGGTATCATATAGGCTTAAGGGTGATGAACCCTAATTAATGTGGCAAGTCAAAATATCATGTAGAAGTGATTGATGGACACAACGGTACAGCTCCTTTTTAGGAAGGAAACGGAACCCAAGGGAATTTGAAATTCAAAAAGCATTGAGATCTTTTAAGATATCTTCTGAGAAGAATAAGCTTAGATGATCTTCTTAACATAAAAAGAGATGAGTCTTTAAGGAAATTCAAAGTCATAACACTGACCCGTAATAAACCAACTCCTCTCTGACGGACCAACTGCTTTAGTCAGTCAATTCTGCAAATTCCCAGAGCAGATCTGAGAATTTCAAAACGATTAGCATCCAGTGGCTTAGTCAGAATGTCCGCCAGTTGTTTGTCAGTCTGAATGTATTCCAACTCAATTTCCTTGGATTCAACCAGGTCTCTGATGTAGTGATGCCTGATGTCAATATTCTTCGTTCTGGAATGTTGAACAGGATTCTTGGAGATGTTGATAGCACTGACATTGTCACAAAAGAGTGTCATTGTTCCTTGTGTAAGACCATAATCCAGAAACATCTGTTTCATCCAAACCAACTGAGTACAGCAACACCTGCGGCTATGTATTCTGCCTCTGCAGTGCTTAGTGAGATAGAGTTATGTTTCTTACTTAACCATGATACTAAGTTCTTCCCAACAAAGAAGCATCCTCCAGAAGTACTTTTCCGATCATCAATATTCCCTGCCCAATCAGCATCACAATATGCAACCAGATTCAGTTCACTATCCTTGGAATACCAGAGTCCATACTGTATCGTTCCTTTCACGTATTTCAGAATGCGTTTTGCCGCTATCAGATGTGATTCCTTTGGGTTAGATTGATACCTTGCACAGATTCCAACACTGAACATTATGTCTGGTCGACTGGCTGTTAGATACAACAGACTGCCTATCAAGCTACGATAGACTGTGTTATCCACTGATATACCAGTTTCATCTTTCGATACTTTTGTAGAAGTGGAGATCGGTGTTCTGGATGGTTTACATGATTCCAGATCAAACTTTTTGACAAGATTCTTAGCATACTTTTCTTGTGAAATAAAGTATCCTTCAGAACTTTGCTTGACTTGTAGGCCTAGGAAATATGTCAGTTGACCAACCATGGACATTTCAAACTCTTCCTCCATGACTTTTACCAACTCATCAGTGTATTTCTGCAAGGTTGATCCAAACACAATGTCATCAACATAGATTTGAGCTATGGTTACATGACTTCCAGTCGTTTTGACAAACATAGTTTTGTCAACACTTCCGCGTTTATATCCGTGCTGGAGCAAATACTGTGTCAGGCGTTCATATCAGGCCCGTGGGGCTTGTTTAAGGCCATAGAGAGCTTTTCGAAGCTTATAGACATAAGAAGGACGTTCTGGATCTTCAAAACCTTTAGGTTGAGCCACATAGATATCTTCATGGAGATACCCATTCAGAAACGCTGTCTTGACATCCATATGATAT